CCTAAAAATACAAAAACTAAATAGTCAGTGGAGACTAGTGCAAGACCTCAGAATCATCAATGAGGCAGTAATTCCTTTATATTCAGCTGTTCCCAACCCTTATACACTGCTCTCTTAGATAGCAGAAGAAGCAAAATGGTCCACTGCTCTGGACCTCAAAAATGCCTTCTTCTACCTTCCCCTGCATTCTAACTGCCAGTTCAGGTTGCTATTTTGTTAACCAGTCAGGCATCATTACTAAAAAGGTAAATAAACAAGTAAATAAATAAGAGAACGAATAGAAAATAGCAAAAAGGAGCTTAAACACTCAGGACCCCGGAATATGTTTAACAAATGGATACCTTGACTTCTCCCCTTTCTAGGACCTGTAACAGTCATCCTACTATTACTCGCCTTTAGGCCTTGCAGTTTTAACCTCCTTGTCAAATTTGTTTCCTCCAGGATCAAGGCCATCAAGCTACAAAGGGTCTTACAAATAAAAACCTCAAGTGAGTTCAACCCACGGCTTCTACTGAGTACCCCTGGATCGACCCACTGGTCCCTCAACTAGCCTAGAAAGTTCCTCTCTGGAGGACACCACAACTGCAGGGCCCCTTCTTCGCCCCAATCAGCAGGAAGTAGCCAGAACGACCGCCACCCTGTTCCCAACAGCAGTTGGGGTGTTCTGTTTAGGGGGGGACTGAGAGGAGGGGTTAGCTGAGCTTCCTGGGTCGAGTAGGGGCTCAGAAAGCTGTGAAACTCACTCCCTGCATCAGGACTTACTTCCGTCCTGGATGGATAATACTGAAGATATATGCTTAAAATATTCCTAACACCAGGATTTGTGCATGTGTTTTCTTTCCCAAGCTATAAACTGAAAATTTTGCTGTAAGTTTCCCTGTGTCTTTCTCTCCCTCTTGCCCTTCCCTCTCCCTTGAGACTAAAGTGAAAGGAATGTTAACTGCCCGTTTTTCTGTGACCAGCAGACCTTATCTATGCTCCCAATTCCAGTTCCTTGTAAACATACTTTGTAAAGTCCTGTGAGATCCTGTCTCCTTTGCCGTGCCACTGCAAAGTCATAAAATAGATAAAACCTAAGTTGCAAGTCCGATTTTCCTCAAGATCTAAGACATGTTACAAACAGTTAATTACCTTTGTTTCTCACTCTGGTAACATCTTCCTGCCACACACGTTTCCCACATTAAAGAGTTTAAAAAGCAATCATATAATCTAACTCTGGCCACCCGTTGTTCGGGACCCCTTCCACGATGTGGAAGCTTTGCACTTTCACTCTGCTCAATAAAGCCTACAGCTGTTTCTCTCTCCAAAGAAAGAAAACCTTATTCTGTCTCTTGAATTTTGGCTTTCAGGACAATTGTGGACTCAGAAATTATATATAGTAAGTCTAACTCTGAATTTTGGTTCTTTTTCCTCTTTGCATTCCTGTTGTTGGAATCCTTGTCTTAAATCAGGATTTAAAAAAAATCAGTTGATGTTAAAAATCATTTGCCCTCTTTTAGTTCATTCCACATATTTGGGGCTGAACGACCAGAAAGAACAGGAAAGAAATCAATGATGGCAGCTGGTTTGACTGAGAAACCCCAAGGGCACAGGAGCTCCTTAACCCTACATCAAACCATGGAAGAGAGCTCACCAGAAACAGTGTGTGTGCTGGCGTGGCTCCAGGTCATGTTTCTGGCCTACTGTCTCTAATCTGTCCATCTCTGCTCTGTCCTAAAACCTCAGGTGACGCCCTCCTCATGTCTCGAAGGTTAGTCACATGCCCTGTTTACTTTCCTGTGTTTTCTGACAGTTGTACCTAACATCTTCAGTGATATATCTTAAGGTAAAACCCCCAACAAGGGTGTTGTAATGATATAAGAGCACTCTTATATGTGAAAACATCTTTAAGTAGAATAATACCAGCTCTATGCTGGGGATATGCTAACAGGATACTCTAAGCATCACTTAACTTACCCCCTTTAATTCTCACAATACCCACAGAGGTAGGCATTTCTTTTTTTGGAGACAGAGTTTTGTTCTTGTCACCCAGGCTGGAGTGCAATGGCACAATCTCAGCTCACTGCAACCTCTGTCTCCCAGCTTCAAGTAATTTTCCTGCCTCAGCCTCCTGAGTAGCTGGGATTACAGGTGCCTGCCACCACCCTCAGCTAATTTTTGTATTTTTAGTAGAGACAGGGTTTCACCATGTTGGCCAGGCTGGTCTCGAACTCCTGTCCTCAGGTGATCTGCCCACCTCGGCCTCCTGGAGTGCTGGGATTACAGGCATGAGCCACAGTGCCTGGCTAGAGGTAAGCATTTCTAATTCCTCTTTTACAAGCAAGGAAACAGATGCTATACAAGTTTAACTGTCTTGCCCAAAGTTACATGGCTGTTAAGTAGTAGAACAAGATATGAACCCTGAACTATTTAATTTAAAAATTAGTCGCATTAATTACACTTTATTTTATTATTGTCGGTCTTAGCTTGTCACCCATTGTGCTCACCACTCACCTGAAAAAAAGTACATTGTAATAAATATTTGTTGAACGAATGAATACTGTCTCCCCTCAAGATCTAAGTAATGGAGACATAATGGTGGAAGGACACCTTTTACTGTCCTGTTTCACGGCTCATTGAAATACTAGGTTTGGTGGCCTTTTGACCACTAAGGAGTCCAGCCAACTTTGGCAGTCAGTGGTAAAGAAAAGGTGATTTTTTATTTTAGTGCAGAAACAGTTGATTTTAAGATTTTTGTAGAATTTTTTTTCTTAATATCCTGCAGGCTAGATCTATCAGATTAAGTTGTTATAAACCTGGAAAATAGAAATTAACTGAAATCATGAATACACTTTTTTCACAGGGCCAAAACAAATTTAAGCCACAAGTGAACATTTTTTTTCCCTCAATGATCAATTTATCTCTAAATTTTGGAAATTATTATTTTATCAACTAACTGAAGTCATGTCAACAGGCATCTGATTGTCAATGACTTTAAATAATTTCTGACTTGGGGCCTGCCTCAGCATCCAGTCTCATATCGCCTCTTCTCTTGTATTCAGTGCCTTCTCCGGAGTTGCGAGGTTGTCTGAGCAGTGTTCTTTCCATCTGTATTGCTTTCTCCCCACCACACATGTGCATTTGCCCCATTTGACCATCCAGCCCATTTTCCCCCAGATGCTTCCAGCCACGCTGACCAAGAGTTTCCATTTCTGTCACTTCTCTTTCCCCTGAATAGTGGTCTGCATTTTCTTGAACTGTGAACTTCTTATATATGCCAAATACTAAGAGATTCTCAAAATAAGATCCCATATTCTGAACAGGACCTAGAGTAAGGATTCTAGGGAAGGCCAACTGGCTCCCACCCTAAGAAGCACTGTGCTATATTGTCAGCACTCCTCCAAGGCATTGGCTATGGAAAATCAAGGTCATTTGAGAGCTTTTAAACATTCAGAAAGGGAGTTACTGTGTCTGAATTTCTGGAAGTGGTTTTAGTAGGGATGAGAGCATAAATGCAAAAGGTCAGAGGAGGATTGGAGGATGCTGAAGGAAGTCAAAAGGCCTGCAGTCAACCTGCACATGCTTGCCTAAAAGTGGTGAGAAAGCTCCACCCAAATGAAGGGGCAGTGGGGCCTGGCCCATCACTACCCCAAGCTACAGGAGAAAGGATTTGACTATTCCCAGAATTAAAAAAATAATAAGAAGAAGAAATCATTATTTGAGGCTAAATTTTACTTTCCCCATTTCTGAAAAAGATTTTTCTCATGATTTATATAAATTCAAATTTTTCAGCACTGTAATAACTTCAGTCAGTTGATCTAGAATGTAAGATATTAACAACAACAAAAGAAGAGTGAAATCCTATAAAAGTTTCAACATGAAATATTTCTGCAAGGCAAAAAGAAATTCACATTCTTGTACCAGGGAGCTGCAGCATTGTCTAGACCCCTTATGGGCACAAAGACATTGACCCCAATGTTTCAGTGAACTATGAAACGAAACACTGAACTGCCACTGTCACCCAGGCTGAGTGCAGTGGTGCAATCTCAGCTCACTGCAACCTCTGCCTCCAGGTTCAAGCGATTCCTGAGTAGCTGGGATTACAGGCACCTGGCACCATGCCCAGCTAATTTTTTTTTTGAGTGGAGTTTCACTCTTTCTGCCTAGGCTGGAGTGCAATGGCGCAATCTCTGTTCACTGCAACCTCTGCCTGCCAGGTTCGAGTGATTCTCCCACCTCAGTCTCCCGAGTAGCTGGGATTACAGGCACACACCACCACGCCCGGCTAATTGTGTATTTTTAGTAGAGATGGGGTTCCACCATGTTGGCCAGGCTGGTCTCAAACTCCTGACCTCAGGTGATCCACCCATCTCAGCCTCCCAAAGTGTTGGGATTACAGGCGTAAGCCCCTGGCCCAGCTACTTTTTTTGTATTTTTAGTAGAGACAGGGTTTCACTATGTTGGCCAAGCTGGTCTTGAACTCCTGACCTCGTGATCCACCCCACTTGGCCTCCCAAAGCGCTGGGATTACAGGCATGAGCCACCGCTCCCAGCACATCTCCAGTCTTTAGGTCTTAAAGAGAGATAGTATTCATTCATTCTACAAATATTTATTTTGGACCTACTATTTATTAGGTAAGTAGTGAATACAATGGCTGACAGGAAGACACAGATAATAAGTAAACAAATAAAAAGTAACTAAGACTGCTGATTTAGGAATAGTTCCAGGTTCAAATCACAGTCTCTTCCTTAACACCCATGTAACATTGGGGAAGACACTTAAATTTTGAGACCCTCCATTTCCACACTCATAAAAGAGGAATTAAAAATGCCTACCTCTGTGGTTATTGTGAAAATTAAAGGGATAAGTTAAGTAGTACTTAGCATGTTGTCTCCAGCATAATGCTACTATTATTTCTCTTAAAAATGTTTTGGAACCTGAGTGCACCTAAATCATTGAAACATCCTTGTTGGGGTCTTATATATATATTTTTGTTGTTGTTGTTGTTGAGACGGAGTCTTGCTCTGCACTTCATCCTTGAGAAGCTGAGAAGAACCACAGGCTTCTTCAGGCAGGTGGTAGAACGTGGGTGTATCCTGCAGGTGCTCACAGTATCTCCCTTGGCTCAGGTGACAGAGGCTTGGGGTTTTCCAGCTCTCGACCTAAAATTCCTGAATAATTGTTTTCAAATTTCTTAATGAATAATAGGATGAACTTGCCACCCCTGTCAGGCGGGAATGGGGTTCCTGAGAGCTGAGGGGCGAGGATCCAGATCCTGAGCCTCTTCACCAAGCAGATGCTATAGAGCAAAGGCAGCAACTCTCTCTCTCTCTCTCTCTCTCTCTCTCTCTCTCTCTCTCTCTCTCTCTCTCTCCCTCGTTCCCCTTCCCTTTAAGGAAATCCTCAGGACTAGGTGAGATCTTAGATCTAGTGGAGAATCTGAGCTGCTCCAAGCAACACCTTGGGATCCTGCAATCTGAAAAGGTAGAACCAAGGCAAATGTGGGTGACAATACCCAGAAGTTGGGTATTGAGCCTGTTAGGGAGAAATTTTTTCAGGGAGTAAAGTAAATAATGAGGTGTAAAGAGCAGTGAGAATGAGAAGCCATAGACTGCAGCCATATGAGCAGCCATAGACTGCAAAATCACACAACATCTGTCCTTTCTCCCTGGTCAGAGAGAGTATGATGGGAAGTCTCCAATGTAGAAAGCCCACTGTGTCCTTCAGCTCCCCCATACAGTCTCAGAACACGCCTGATTCTGAAATTTCTGTTCTCTTTAGGCTCTAGCCTGATTTTCTGGCTCATAAGGCCAAAGGGAGCTGGAAAGGTCCCCAGGGCAGGACTCATGGTGGAGAGAGAATGGTCTAGAGGATTCAGGCCTCTGCACACTGTGTCTGGGTCCCTCCTTAAAGAATGATAAAGACAAGTAAAGAGCTTGAAGCAGCCTGGAGTCCAGCCAGAAACCTTTAACTGAGCTTTAAAGGAGATGGTCACAACACTTTTCATAATATTGGCAAAGGCCTCCTGTGGCCAGGTTTGTCCTAGGATGAGCATAATTTAATAATGTTAACCTGCTGTATCTTTGCTTTAATATATCTGCTTGCCCATCACAATGACGTTATGGTTAATTTCATCAATTTGGTAACCTGGCTCACAGGAAGTAGGAAAGTAAGCGAGGACCAGGTGTGGTGACTCATGCCTGTAATCCTAGTACTTTGGGTGGCTGAGGCAGGTGGATTGTTTGAGCCAAAGAGTTCAAGACCAGCCTGCGCACCATGACAAAATCCCGTCTCTACAAAATATACAAAAATTAACCAGATATGGTAGTGCATGGCTGTAATCCCAGCTACTTGGAGGCTGAGGCGGGAGAATCTCTTGAGCCGGAGAGGCAGAGGGTACATTGAGCTGAGATTGCGCCACTGCATTCCAACCTGGGCAACGAAGTGAGACCCTGTCGCAAAAGAAAAAAAAATAAAAAGAGAAAGATGGTGAGGGTTTCCTGTGAATCAAATCCTTGATTGGATGTTTTCTTAAGTAACCAAGACCTCTGTAAGAATTCTGTCCTTGATTCCACAGTAAAGTGGTGTGAAATTACTATAAGCAAATGTTTACATGTCTTATTTAATCTTCACAACAATCCTGTGAGGCAAGTAGAATTGTTATCCTCATTTTCTGAGTGATGAAACTAAGGCTCAGGGGAGCTATGTGACCTGGCCAAGTCCCCACAACTGGAAACCACGGAATAAAATGAACCGAGTCACACATACTAGAATAAACTCATTGTGCCTCACCATGGAGCTTCCCAATGGCTATTTCTGTTGCAATAGAGGATGAAGCAGATGGTCTTTCCAATCAAGAGATGTTAAGAAAGTCTCCAGTTGTCCCTGGGGAATCTCAGAATCAGACTGAAGATTCGAAAGAGCCTTTGCTCTTCTGAGTCAAACTCCCCAGAACCTCCTACAGTACTGCTGACCGGTGAGCGAGCATCAAACCTCCAAAGACTTGGGGAATTTGCAGATTCTAGGGAAAATTCCATGAGTCAACAGGTGTGAAATTTGAAAGTTCCATAGAGAAATTCTGGAACTTGAAATTATGAGAGGAAGATTATTATGCAATTTTGTTCCTGTTAGTAGTCTTCAATAAAGAGACTTCAGGTGAACATTGGGTTGAACCAAGATTACTTTCTCCCATTGTCACCATTCTGATTTCAGATTGTTCCTTGCTGGTTCATGTCCTCTTCAATTCCGTTTTGTACCAGGTAGAGGCAGAGTAGAAGGAAAAACTGAACAACAAATGGCATTTGTGCCAGCTCGAGGGATAAACACCCTCTAAGGAGCATCTCAGGATTTCCACAAGATTTCAACAGGGTCACCCCAGTTCACAGGCAGGTAGCGTGTCTTCAGTGTACGGCCAATCGCTGTTGGACAAACAGGAGGTGTTTTCCCCAGGATACCCTGCGCTAGACTCGGCATCTTTTTAGTCTTCTTCCTATTCTGTCTCCTTCCCAGCACACTGACACTGGAAGCACACTGTGTCATCACATTAGCAATTCACAGGTGAATTGCTGAAATACCTCACAAATGTACAGTACTTTAACTGCTGACAAATCCCCATGTAGTAGGTAAGAAAGATGTTATTATTCACATTTATCTATTGGAACTTGGGGGCACAGAGTGTTTAAATTACCTGCCCAAGGGCACACAAGTCACTTGCCTCTTGTGTTTCAATTATACAATGGCTTAGTGATTCTTTCTTCAGATGGTTGTTGTGAGGGGTGAATGGAATTAAATCAAGTCTGTGTGGAAAGGGCCTGGAGCATGGGTTCTCAATGCAGGGTGACTACTGTTAGCACCAACTAGTTATGGTAATGACTGTGATGATGATGGGGAAATAATATCACCTTGAAGTAATAATAATAAAGTTGAAGTTAGAATGATCCCCCCAAATGTATGAAAATTAGGGCAATGAATTACATCTATAAAATGAGTTAGTTTGTAAATCATGAGAAAATGAGCATCCTCAGGTACTGCAGGTAGAAACACACAATGGAATAACTCTTGTCAGCAAGCTAATCCATTCCCAGGCATTACTTTTTTTTTTTTTTTTTTTTTTTTTGAGACAGAGTCTTGCTCTGTCACCCAGGCTAGAGTGCAATGGCACGATCTTGGTTCATTGCAACCTCTGCCTCCCAGGTTCAAGCAATTCCTCTGCCTCAGCCTCCCAAATAGCTGGGACTATAGGCGCACACCACCATGCCCAGCTAATTTTTGTATTTTTAGTAGAGACGGGGTTTCACCATGTTGGCCAGGATGTCTTGATCTCTTGACCTTGTGTTCCGCCAGCCTCGGCCTCCCAAAGTGCTGGGATTACAGGCATGATCCACCGTCCCCAGCCCAGAATTTGCTTTCTAACGAGTTCCCAAGAGATGCAGGTGCTACTGGTCAGTGACCCTCTGCTCAAAATCACTGCCCCAGGAGATGGGGGCTCTTCTATGCCCCATTTTTACAGGTAAGGTTGGTCATGGCAGTGGGAGATACAAAATAAAGGGTGGGGTCAGGTTCCTTTCTAAAAACCTAAATGCATGTCGGGGCAAGTAAGGCTTAGAAAAGAATTTACCCTCCTTCGCCTCTGTCACCTCCTCCCTCCTTCCAACCTCCATCACTTGTTTGGCAAACTGGACTCTGGAAGCCAGAAGGCATCAGAAAAAGTGGAATGTGAGCCTGCAGGCCATCAAGGTGAAGCCTCGAGGATCCCCCAGGGCCAGTTGTTCCACTTTGATGTGGATAAGCCTCAGTTAGTGTCAAGTTGAAAGGAGAAAAATACAGGTGAGTCACTGTTAAGAAACAGGTTCACATAGGTAGGTCTAGGAGCACTGCAAGTAGTTCTTACAGTGGGGGAGAGCAATTGTGCTCAACTCTGAATCCAGCACAAGGCAGTGGGAATCACAGTCAAGGAGGAGGATGGGTGTTAGCGAATAGGAAATGACTACGAGGGAACATCAGGGGTAAGGGAGGATTCTGGCTAAACTGACCTAACGGGATTCTTGCTGAGCACAGGCCAAGGTTATCTGACATCAGCTGCGGGATGGTGGGGGATGAGGACCCTGATCAATATATGGTGGACGAGGATTCCTGGCAGCTAAACTGACTTAGCAGGGTAATTTGCTAAAACTGAATTTTACAAAAAGTGCACAGATAGGTATAGTAGAAGGTTCAGAAGCCTGACTAATGTATGGTCAAACAAACAATAATGCATGCTCCAGGGACCGTACTGGGCCTCAGCATCTTCCTACTCCACCAGCTTCCAGGAGGGCATTTTGCCCGGGGCCTCCTGGGTGGTTCCTTGCCTGATCATTTCCAGGAGACAAGAGACTTGCACCTTATCATCTAGGATAAATTCGGTTTCAGATTTTTAAGCCTAAATCAGGTAACAGTGCTTCAGTGACAATCTCAGGTATTAAAAAAGTGAGGTTCATTCATTCATCAGTTCTAAAGGCAAACATAAGGCATTCTTTTTTTTTTTTTTTAAAAAAAAAAATTGAGACCACATAAAAGAAAAAGAATGAAAAAAATCAAGCAACCCGAATCCCTTATATAATCTCTTCAAACGCCAAACAAGGGAACTCTTCTCAATATAAACTTCGGAACTTTTGTTGATCACTGACTGCAGTCTGGTGGTTTATACTTATTTTCTTGTGTCCTGTTTCCTCCCTACTCCCACCCCCAACCAGCAGTTGCTGCCTTCCTGTCTTGGTCTCATTGTTCTCAAATCAGACCTGTAGATACGGTCCCAAGTGCTTCTATCCTTCATCCTTATATCCACAGGATCCCCTGAGAACCCAGCTTCTATTATGGAGAACTATCCCACCCGCTGAATAAGGAGTCTGATCTTTATTCAGTATTATTGCTGAGATACCAGAGGAAATAACATGTAAGAGTCTAGTATAGAACTCATGGCTCTGATCTGAGGTACTAATAGTTGCTTATTTGAATCACTGCATTTTCTATTTATATTCTTTTTTTTTTTTTTTTTTTTTTTTGAGACGGAGTCTCACTATGTCTCCCAGGCTGGAGTGCAGTGGTGCGATCTCAGTTCACTGCAACCTCCACCTCCCAGGTTTGAGCAGTTGTCCCTGCCTCAGCCCCCTCAGTAGCTGGGATTACAGGTGCCTGCCATCATGCCTGGCTAATTTTTGTATTTTTAATAGTGATAGGGTTTCGCCATGTTGGCCAGGATGGTCTTGAACTCCTGAACTCAGGTGATCCACCCGCCTTGGCCTCCCAAAGTGCTGAGATTACAGGCGTGAGCCACCACACCCACTCTATATTCGTAATTCTATTCACAATATCTCCTACACAGTGTTTTCCTATTCTATGGGGAGAAATCAGGCAGATGGCAGAAGACACAGGTCAGATCTCAGGAAGAGTTTCTATGGCCTCTAAACAAGCATTTATTGATTAGATTTAGGGGTGAATATTACGAATGTGGGGAGATGTCCCACAAGGTTAGCTCCTCTGCTACCCAATGCACCAAGCAGCTTGTCCATAACTTAGTTTAAATATATCTGTCAGGCTCCATGCCCACTTGCTATAAAAGCAAGATTACTGAGGTAATCTTAGATTTTAAAACGGAAAACTGGGCCTCACAAAAGCAGTTGGGAAAGTTACCTGGAGATTGTTTCTAAGGCAGTGTCCAGCTGTACCAAGCAAAGGATGATAAGTACAAAGTCAGAGCTTCATTAACTCTTGATGATTGATTCATTCACTTAATGCAAGACTTCATGGGAAGAAGAATCGCTGAGTGGAGGAGACTGGAAACAAGGCATCATGAAACGCCCATGGTCTCTGGATACCCACCCAGCCAGTCCCCACCCTCTTAGGGTCTGGTCTTGATCATCTCATCACGTGTTTCAAGAGTGCGTTTTCCTACCAGTTGTTTTTTCGTCTGCTGTTTTTTTTAGTTTTTTTTTTTTTTTTTTTTAGTTTAGTTTAGTTTTGTTTTTGAGACAGGGTCTCCTCTCGCCCCGGCTGGAGTGCAGTGGTGCGATCTTGGCTCACTATAACCTCAACCTTCGGGGCTCAAGCGATGCTCATGCCTCAGCCTCCCGACTAGCTGGGACCACAGGCGCGGGCCACCACACTCGGCTAATTTTTGTATTTTTAGTAGAGATGGGGTTTCGCCAGGGTGCCCAAGCTGGTCTCCAACTACTGGGCTCAAGTGATCTGCCTGCCTCAGCCTCCCGAAGTGCTGGGATTACAGGCATGAGCCACCAGCAACACGCCCAGATTCTTCTATACCCTTAATTGGGAGATGAGGCTTCTGCCTGCGGGTTATGCGTTCTTCCAACCGGCCCCACCTTTGCTGTGGACTAAACAGGAACCACTGGACTAGAGTCCTTTGGCTCTCAGCCCTGCAGGAGATTTTAATCAAAAATTCTAGGCCTAAGGGAAAAACAGGGTTAGGCTGAAAATGCACACAAGGCTCCTGTAAACTTCTTTTCATAAACCACCCGCCCAGGGTATTAAATAGGGTACTTAGTTGATCCGAACCCTCCAGGGAGACCTCTGACCCTTCTCTTCGTAGCCCCCAGCTCCC